CTCCAACTGCGACTGAGCGCTTGGATGTGGGAACGGTGTACTTCGCGTTCAGCCGTGAGGTCGGATTTCGTACCAACAACGACGATAGGAACTGCGGTTGAGGTACCTTTGACACGATATATTTGTTGTCGGAGGGTCTCAACTTCCCGAAGAGATGTTTCTTGCGTAAGGCTGCAACAGCATGAGCGTGACCTGAGAGTTGTAGGCGGAAGGACACAAACCTAAAGACAAGGACGAAACCGTCGGCTGATTTTATGTAAAACTCGTTCAAGGCGGTGAACTGCTCGGCGCCTGCAGTATCTGTAACTTCGAGCTGATAGTGGCACGTCTCAGGCTCGACGAGACGTTGACGAAGTACAGAGAAAGACACACCGAAGTGAGCTCGTCGTCGACTTTGACCTGACGTCGATATGCCTCTGCAGCGGTGCCTTAGGAATGACACTGCGCCAAACAGGAAAGGCTGACCTTCAATAGTTGGGTCGTAGCTATCGAGGAAGACCTCGCGCACCCAGCGAACGGTGAGCGCGCTCTTTCCGACACCACCGGCTATGGCACGGTTTCAGTACAAGAGGGTCATTGAGTACGGCGGGCACGCACCGCCTAGGACAACGCTGGAAAACTGACGCATGATAGTTAGAGTTAAAGAAGACAAATTAGAGCTAAAGATCTCAATCCATATTCGTGTTCGGAGTTAGCAAGCTGCGCGCTTCCCGTTCGCCCAACTTTGATGAATCCCCGTGTCTTTTTCGACTTTGCGCTCGATACAGCTCCAATCGGAAGGTTGGTGGTTATTCTATGTGGCCTGCCGAATCCACTCACCTCTCCCCTTTAGGGTTATCTTTGAGCTTTTCGCAGACACAACACCGAAAACAGCAGAGAAGTGCGTTCACTGGCAGAATTTAGTACCACGTCTTTTCAGTAACGATCTAGTTTCCGTGCATTATGCACCGGGGAGAAGGGGATTTCTCCCAAGTCGCAGCTGCCACTTTATTACAAGAACTCGATTATACATCGCTCCATTGCCGAGTTCATGATTCAAGGCGGAGGTTAGCAAAGACCGATGTTCACTTGCCGCAATACGTTGACGTGCATTCAGACTTTACCAAACGTAATGGACTGGGGGGAGAGTCCGTGTATGGGGCACCATTCGAGGACGAAGATCTGTCGCGTGAAGTTGACTCTGAAGGGTGCAGTTCATCCCTCCGCTGCGTTGTTCATCTCTATGCTCATTGGATCCACAAGGTTGCTCGTTATGGCCAACCGTGGACCCAACACGTATGCATCGTCTTTCGTTATCTGAGCACCAATTGATTCTTGTTACAGCAACGGCTCGCAATTCTTCATCACGCTGCGCCCGTGTCCCCATTTAAACGGCAAGCATGTCGTCTTTGGCCGTATAGTACGCGGATTTGAAGACGTGATCCAGAAGATAGCTGCCGTGCCTACTGATGACAGGGATAGACCCTCACGGCCTGTCGTCATTCTTACCTGTGGTGAACTTGAGCGCAGGAAGGCAGCGGTGGTAAAACGGGCGCCATCAAGGTCGGTATCTCCGGTCGAGTCAGAGGTCGACATCCCCAAGAAGAAACGTCGCCGTCATTCCTCAGCATCTCCTGGCCCTGATCCAGATGGCGGATCTGATCATAATCGCAAGTCCAAGTCCAAACGACATTCCAAGTCCAAGTCCAAAAGCAAACGCCATAAGGGCAGCTCGTCACCACACACTGCTCTTCCGCATCAAGAGACAGAGGAGGAATACGATTTGCGTTTGGAGAGAGAGGAAAATGAACGCCTCGAGGCTGCGCGTAAACTCGAACTAGCAAGGTTCCGGGAAAGGCTTGCAAAGGAGAAAGAAGAACGAGAGCGGCAAAACAAGGAGATCGGGGTCATCAATTACAAAGGTTGGCACATGTGATTCATTTCGGTCGGACGTGACTAACAGCAATTATCCAGGTCGCGGTAGAATGAAATATGTGGACCCAGAGACCGCAAGAAGGCGCGGAGATTAGGACCTTTCCGCTCTTTATTTCCACCATTACTTTTTGACCGATACCAAAAGAAAACAAAATAAGCTAAGTGGTACCCAACATCCTGATATGTACACTTCTTCCAAACGAGTGAGTGAGCATAGTGAGAGGCATGGGCGGGGAGGGCATGGGGCATAGTCTGTACACAGATCCAAAGAATTAAGACAATCAAGAGGGAGACCAGTGTAGTATTTTGAATGGCCAGGAATTAGGATGTAGTTGATGACAAAACGGAAGAAACAAATAATCCAGAGTTCTCCAGGTTAAACAACAATCTGTGCAACCTTCTCAGTGGTTTGCTCCAGTGATGACCCTGAATCTTTCCCGCCTTCCTCCTTCGAGTTCGACTGCGCATCCTTCGGGTTTTGCGTAGCCGGGGCGTCAGCTGCCTCAGCGGCCTTCTTCGCCGCGTTCGCAAAGCTAAACGCAGGCCGCACAGTCGCACTCGCGGGGGGGGACGATGACTTGCGAGGGGCATGGGCGCTGCGTGTTGAGGCTTGGCGAGACGTCTCGCGCGAAAGGGGGTGAGGGTGGTCCCCACCACGGGCGGTCGGCTGACGTGAGGTCTCCCGTGAAAGGGGATGCCGGGTGAGCGTGGATGATACTTCCTCGCGCTCTTTGGAGATGCGCTCCTCAACTTCTCTCTCGCGTGCTGAGACGTCGACAGGTCTGTGATGCGCAGTGAGTACGTGAATAAGTACGACGATAGAGGGGAACACTGACTTGGCTGTGCCGAATGGGTTGGATCTGGATCCTGTGGGAAACGTAGAGGCTTGAGAGGGAGAGGCAAGCGGGGTGGCAACCGTCGAGGCCGTTCCTGAGCGAGGGAGCAGTTCGAGTTTCCGGCGGGCAAGCTGCGGGGTAGGCGGGGTAGAATTGGTCGCTAGACATAACATATTAGGGTTCTGGAGCTTAAGTAGGGATGTATTTGCTCACGCGATCGCTCAAAGCTGCCCTGCCTCTCTGTGGGAAGCGCTGGTCTCGCCCGCGAACGCCAATCACCTTCCTCTGCAATCGGTGGCGTCGCCGTGCCGCTTCCAGCACCACTTGCACTCCGTTCTGAAAAACCAGAGCCAAACTTGCGCCCAACGCTCCCCGAATCACTTCCCGACGGGCTGGGCCGGAACTTTGATCCTTTTGTCCACGTCTCTTCAGCGTCCGCAGCACCGCTACTCTCTAGAGCCCCAAAGCCACGCCGACCATCCCGCTCGCGCTCCAGCGGAGGGGGCGGCGGCATTGACGCACGACTGCTTCGCCAGTCTCCGTTCAGTTCGGGTCGTTCACGTTCACGGTCTGTATCAGTGCCTGGCATGAATCGGGCGCCGCGTCGAGGGCCCTCATCATCTCCTGCTGGTGGGCCATCTCGGAATCCGAATCCGGAACCACCGCGACCCCCGCGGGACGGGGGCTCGGAGGAAGGAAGAGGACCATCGCGCCGCCAATTCCCCATGAACTTGTCGTCGTCAAAACCTCCCCCGCCACCACCAAAACGGTCACGGTCGCGCTCCTTTGCTGCAGAAATGTCAGATGGGACAGGGTGTCAAACCTTTGCGACATACGTGGTTCAGCAACGTTGACACGAACGGTACGATGTGAGAGGGTCTGATCAGGGATATCAGTCGAAGTAACCATTAACTCAGACGTTTGACTCACCCCGCCAGATTTTGCAAGCGCATCTTTGAGCCCTTCAAGCTCTACAAACTCAACATAGCCAAATCCTTTTGGCTTGCCATCTCTATCGGTGATAATCTTCACCGAGACGGTCTGACCAAAAATGAGCAACAAGCCCTCCAGAGGAAGAGGGATCCTACTTTGTGGGGAGCAAAAAATTCCTCAAGCTCCATGTCTGACATGTCAAAGGCCAGGTTTCCGACAAACGCAGTGTAGGGTGGCTGCGTGGGAAGGGGGACATCTTCTCTGGGGGGAAGAGGGGCACGATCGGCTGTATCGCAAACCCACTTAAAACGCAATATGTTGAGGAGAGAAAGCACGCGCACGTCGAGAGGAGAAATCAGAGCGACCAAACTCTCTGGCTCGCTCCTCATCGGTACGGGGGGCCGCTGTGAATGCGACGTTAATCGTCGCCAGGATGCATGTCATATACTAACGTGCGGAGGGCAAAGCGTCCATCTCATCCGCCCATGATCCAAGGGCTGCCGAGGAACGATTTAGAAGCTGATGAGACACGGGAATGCCACACACCATTATCCCCTAGGAATTCGTTTAGGGACATCTTTTGGCCTTTTTTGGGTGCTGACCATGGGATATCAATGACGGGCACAGTATGGGCAAGAGTAGTGGAAAACGTACCCATGATTATAAAGGTTGTGGTGGTTGAGACTCAAGCGTTGTTTGGTCCGCCAAAAATTATTCGGAGTATGGAAGTATACGTCGTATGATGTAAGCCCAGGGCTGGTTTCCGGCGGCCCGCTGTGGTCTGCTCAAGGACAGTCACCAGCACCGTTCCCAGCTATGGTATTTATTGTCGGAAACTCCATTCCTTCCCATTATGGCGCATTGCTGTTACACGATCACGACCAGCCGTGGCCTGTCGCTGGATCCATCTTGAACCTATATACTTACTTATTGTTAGATCTCTGGGATTAATGCGACCCTGATCACACGGGAAAAGCAGTGATGACGTCCAAGCTTGGCAAGGACCAGGTTGAAGCGACGGGTGGCTTAGGGAGCAGTTTTGGTTGGAGGAGTATATGGAGGTTACGATGAAACTCGGAGTCCTGCCAACTGTTCCATGAGCGACTCTCGAAACATAGTGTTGACAGAAGCTACACACAGGCCTCAAGAAACAGACGGCCTTCTTGCACGTCTTCAAATAATAACACACATCTATCCCTGGGACTGTGGAATAAGCAAAGTCTGATCTCTCACTCAAGATGGCAGGAAAGTTGACAAGAACAAAAAATTTGGCCTTGATCCTGGGGTAATATTTATTCGTGCGTGAAACAAAATTAGTGCCTCCTGGCCGATTTGAACGACCGACCTCGTCATGTGTTACCATGCATGATACTAGTGACGCGCTCTACCAACTGAGCTAAGAAGGCAATGGATTTCGCTTCCACCAGTGCTTACTCAAACGTATTTTACGAGAAATCGCTACTGCTATCTGATACAGACCACCGAACAACTTTTCATATCCATAGACGACAAGTCTCGGCCGATTACTGCAGTTGACTCTGACGCAGACCCAAGCTGGTACCTCATTAGTTCTATACGATGAATCCGTCTGTACTCCCTCCATCAGACTACAGACGCTATGGTCGACAAATGATTCTCGAAGGCTTCGGTCTTTCAGGTGCGTTGCACACTTCATTCTTTAATGCAGGTAGAGTTCACTCGCAATAGGTCAATTGAAGCTGCGTCAGTCCGCAGTAATCGTGGTTGGAGCGGGTGGCCTTGGGTGTCCGGCACTGCAGTACTTGGCTGCAGCGGGTGTAGGTCACTGTCAACTCACCACCTTACCCTGAACTTAATCACCAACTGCTACATCCACAGGGAAAATTGCCATCGTAGATCACGACACCGTTGATATCTCGAATCTTCAAAGGCAGATATTGCACACGGAAGCACGAGTTGGCATGTCTAAAGTCCGTTCTGCAGAGATCGCGATTAAAGAGTGAATTCATTTCGTTGTGGCCACTTTCCAGCCTCTTACCCTCACCAAAGGATCAATTCTCATCTCACCATCATCACGCACGACCTCTTCCTCACCGCGGACAATGCGCATGACATTCTTTCGTCTTATGACGTCATCCTGGACTGCACGGATAATGTCCCGACGCGTTATCTACTGTCAGACGTCTCAGTGGCTCTCGGGAAACCCCTTGTTAGCGGTGCTGCGATGAAATTCGACGGTCAACTATGCACATACAATCTCAAAAGTGACGGCCCGTGCTACAGATGTCTGTATCCAAGGCCTCCAGCCATAGAGACTATTGGGACATGCGAGGAGACTGGCGTACTAGGCGTCGTGACTGGCACCATTGGGAACCTGCAGGCCATGGAATGTCTTAAAATCCTGACAGGCCTTCATGGCAAGTTTTTAATTTACATGTCGAAGATTATTACTCATTATTGGGTAGATGGTCGCCCCTCGCTCCTCATATTCTCGGCGTTATCCACTCCGCCTTTTCGCACTGCCAAATTACGGAGTAGACGACCTACATGTCCCGCTTGTGGCGAGGATGGTAAGAAAATCGGTAAGATTGAGGAGATCGACTATGTCGCATTTTGCGGTGGACGAACACCAGACTTTGAAGCCACTGGTCTCCGACAGGGTCAACCAGGTCATCGAATCTGCGGAAGAGTGCGCGTCCTACGGCTCAGTTGCACTTACCATCTTCACTGATTATACGGCTCATACAGGATTTGCAGCAAGCAATGAGAGACGGATGTCCCTATCTGATCGATGTGCGATCCCCCACGGAATTTGGTATTTGTCATCTTCCGACTTCGACCAGTATGTGTTCTCCTGCTCTTCGGGTTTCTACCTCACGTCTCCGTGCAGACGTCCCTTTACCCGAGCTTGTGGCCAATCCGTCGTCATACATTGACAGTGATGCAACATCCCAAATATTTGTGGTATGTCGGTTGGGAAACGACTCACAGATTGCGGCGGATGCATTGAGATCTATCGCTGCTGGCCGCTCAATACAAGACTTGGTGGGAGGCCTAAGAGGTTGGAGTCGTGACGTGGACCCGAATTTCCCGGTGTATTAAATTACATGCACTTGCTTTGTATGTGGTAACATCGATGTATATAGACAACGGTATAAACCTGCCACTCTGACTTGCCCCAAACTTTCCCTAGTTCATATGAGTTGCCACTTGACCACCTTTGAAGCTTGACAGAAAACTCATGTGTGCAATCTTCCTTATATCATCGTCGGAAAGGCCCAGCCCCAAAGGAGGTGCTGCCATGAGTAGGGCATATTCCCCAACTAGCGAGTTGCGGAATGGCAGGATATCGTCAGTCTAGGGAAGTCCCGTCAGGTTCAGAGGTTTTTCGAAAATAGATCACGAACACAGATGGCTATAGGGTGATTGTGTTCAAGATAATAACGGATGTGGTGGGCATCAATAGTCTTCACCGTTTTGCAGCTGCATGCCACGTCAGTACCTTGGGACTGCTAGCTGGGGATTAAACGGACAGAAGGTTGGATGTGAGGCAAATTTCGATTGGAATTCTCTCTCGCAGGACAATGTCGCGCGCCGCCGTTGAAAGGAAGGTGGCATGTCCAAGGCGCGATGGCCCAGATGACAACAGGGTCTGTGTGTCTTCTTCGGTGTTTGCAGGGGTCTGGATGTTGTCAAAGTTGATCAACCACACACGGGTATAGTGAAAGGAACCTAACCTCGGCAATATGCAGAGTTATCTTTAAACCAGCCACTTTAGCCCGCTCAAAGTAGGGTAAAAATGTAGCCATATCCCCTATCTATATATCATTACAAGCCATTAGCAGGATGGTCGTACCACGCCTAATATCATGTTGATACTGACCAGGGGATCACCACATAAGTCGATCCCAACCACTCTCCTGCCTTGTTCCTTCAGAGAAATAGCCAGATCCACACACTCCTGGACGTCTTGAAGCGACATTCGACGATCGATGCTGATCAATAACGCAGCAGTCTCTGGAGAGTATTTTTCCACTTCATTGAGCACTGTATCCAAATATTCCCCGCGCATCATGTGGTTCGTTTTACGAGGCGTAGTGCGTAACTCCATGTATTGGCATTGAGAAGGAGTTCCATCAGATCCAGGAGCAAGGAAGTGGGATAGGACCTCGCGCGTCACTGTAGCAAGAGCTGGGACCGTCGAAGTCAAGGCGTAGATTGCGGGAAACAACGAAAAGAAGTCGTCAATGACATTCAGTTCAACACCGCGTTCAAATACCTCCAATCCTTTTGACACAGTCTCTGATAAGGTTTCCGAATTTATGTTGCTTTCACGGGCGAGCTCCTGGAGACAGGATAAAGGTATAGATCCATTCAGATGAGCGTGCAGCTCCGCTTTCGGTAGATTTCGCAGAAACTGAGCCTGAGCTTTGGATAACGAATTGAAGGCCTCTGCTACCAGGTCGTTCATACCGGTCAAGACGTTTGTAGGCTGTAACGATGAGCTTTTGGTTACATGACTCGAACAACGGCTCAGGCTCGAGTTTTGGTTCCCGGGCGCCACGGCCTTGGCCTTGGATAGGGTCAGAAGCAGTCACGTCAAATTGCTCAAATTGCCTCCCGCTGAGGATGGCCAATGTGCGACAAGAAGTGCTCATCGTCTGTCTCGTCGATTCATCGCTAACACTAGGGCATGAGTGGAACGATGTTCTTAAAGAGTACATTTCCCCTTTGTTACGGCGAATAGCAGCACCAGTTACTAGAGGCAACAGAAATGAGGCGGTAAGCTACTCCTTAACGTCAGGCACTTGTGGTGGATCACCACTCATGAGCTATTCAGCTTCGGATGGGGTTTGTATCATACTCGGATTCGTATGTGCATCCGAATCCCATATTAGCAAGACGATTCTTCTCGCCAATTCACTCGCTCACGAAGGAGCTAAGCGAGGACCCTACGAGTCTGGGTATAGGTCGCACAGCTTCGAATGGTCACAAGGGCATGGCTATCCTTGAAGGATATGCTACTGTTCTAGAGGTTAGATGATATTTTGATCTGGCAGCCACCAGCATTAACCCCTGCCTGGATAGATGTTTGATGCTGTTGGTGAAACAAGGCCACCACTCAGACCACATCTGCCGAATGAGGCTCAACCGGAGATCCCGGTATATGACTCCACATATTATTTGATCCATGTGGCTTCTTCTCCTCCCGACAACGTCCAAAAGCCGTCGTGGAATGCTAACCCTGCATTGGATGAGATGACATGGGCCTCTCTACCATCCGAGTTACTCAAGGTTTGCCAACCGCTTAATAGAGTTCTTACGTTCATGTCTCCCATCGTCACAGAGGAAGATCAGGTCCAGCATGATCCTCACCCGACCCATACCAGAGCTCTTGGACCTCCACAAACATGTAACCATACCTTCCTGTCACCCCTTCCAAGACATTGAAACTTATCTCCTAACCAGATCTCACGCACACCGGATCCTTCCTGGATAGCCCTCCTTAAGCCATCACACAGGTTACTATTTTCAGGCCTACCACCCGATAAAATCAGTAAGTGCTTCTTTCATCTGTGTTTCAGCGATTGTAATATCCTGTATTCCTTTCGCAGTCCCCCAGAAACGTCCGGCGACGGAGAGTGCGGACAATCCACAACAACCTGCACAACCTCGTCCACCATCACAGACACAAGTGACGGCGGACCCTCCCGCAGCGGCCCCATTATCGGTGACACAACCCACTTCCATTGGTACTAGCAATCCTTCTCCGTCCCGTTCGGGGAGCGTGACGGTGCAGCCGCCAAATGACCCACAACCACAACCGCAACCGCAATCGCAACCGCAACCGCAACCGCAATCGCAATCGCAACCGCAACCGCAACCGCAACCGCAACCGCAACCGCAACCGCAACCGCAACCGCAACCGCAACCGCAACCGCAACCACAACCACAACCACAACCACAACCACAGCCACAGCTACAACTGCCGCTGCAGTTGCAGACTCACACTCCACCACAACCGCAACTTCTGACCCAGGTTCAACCTCCACTCCAGACACAACCACATCCACAACCACAGTCTGTGCAGCCTCGCCCCGCTGTTTCTGGACAAGCTTTTGACCCTCAGAAACTAATTAATTATATCAGGGGGATAGAGAATGAGTGTCGTCAGAAACTCCACGTGTTTAATGAAGCACGGAAAGCCGGAAAGCCACAAGCCGAGCTTGACGCGATGCAGGCGGACCTTACCCAGAAGGCCTCGACTCGTGCAAAGTTGGTTGTGATGTACCAACAGATGATGCAGAGACTGCAACCAAATGCAGGCGGTACCTCAAGCCAACCTGCAGCAGTGCCGAACACTCAACCAGCAGGCAGTGGGTCAACTCCGCAAGTTCGACCCGCACAAGAGCAGCCTGAGGCCCAT